TGAACCCCGCCTCTGGACTCCAGACTTGGGTGTATTTTCAGCTTCCTGTACTGTACTGCACTCGGACGTCTCATAGACATTTCAAACTTTCATGACCAAGAAAGGATTACTCATTCCCCGCCTAGGCCCACCCACATCTTTCTCCCCAGCAACCTTCCCCACTGCAGGAGAAAATGCCCCATGCATCCCACTACCGAAGGGAAACACCCAGGAGTCGTCCTCGATGCCCCCCTTCCCCTGGCTCCCCGCGCCAGTGCATCCCGGTTCCTAGCAGTCCTGCCTCCGCCTCCCACCCCCCTGCTGCGAGCCTGGTCCACGCGGCACCACTTGTCAGAGGACCCCTGCCAGCACCTGCCTCCTGCCCTCTCTGCTCACGCCCCAGCGTCCGCCACAGGCAGCCTCTTGGTGTGTGATTCGGGTCACATCCCTCCTTGAAACCCTCCGGTGGCGTCCCGCTCGCTCAGAATACAATACAAACCGCTGGCTCTGGTCCGCGGGGCCCCACAGGGCTGGCCCAGGCTACCACATGTGTCCTCTGTCCCCTTTTGTGCACAGCATGTCCCTGTCACACTTCTCTTTTCTCTGTCCCTCAACATTTGTTCCTGTCTGTGCTTCTGCTCAGAACAATTTTCCTCCTCTCTTTTCCCCAACTTGGATTCAATTCAGATGATCCCTCTTCAGAGATGTCTTCTCACACCCTCATAGAAAAAGTGCCCTGTTTTATTTTTTCCGTAGCACTTACAAATGATCTCAGGTGTTCTGCTGTGTATGTGTTTATTGCTGGAGTAGCAGCCCCTAAAGAGCAAGAGCTCTATCTCGTCCACTGACGTGCCCCAGGGCCTGGAACAGTTAATGCATATTGATGAGAGACTGAATAAGATAACCCTTCTAAAGGTGTAGAGTGAGTACAGCATGTTGGTATGGAAGGAGCCAGAGCTTTGGAATCCAGAAAATTCTCATGCTCACACTTGCTAACTGGAATAGCAAGTTACTTAGCAACCCTGGGCCCCAGCTTCCTCTTTCAGAAGAGGTAAGAATTACCGAAAACATACCAGCTGCTACGAGGATAGTGCCTGCCGCAGAGGAGGTGCTCTGGGTAGGTGCGTAGGCCGAGTGGACCTGCCTGGTTCCACTCCAGTGCCCTTTTGGTCGTCCTAGGATGGTAATGGTCAAACACTGGGATGGATTGAAGAGCTAGGGTAAGGTAAGGGTGTGAAGGAAGATTCTGGAGTCTTTGCAGCGTCCCAGATTGTTGATCTGTGTTGATCCTTTTGAGGTGATAATGTAAGTATAGTCACAGTGGAAGAGGTGAGCACCCTGCATGCCACCCTAAGACCCACTTCAGTGCTGGGGCACTGGGGAAGCTGGCACACTTGGAGGTTCTGGGCTCTGGCCGGTTTCTGGTGAGCAAGGAAACCTTCCTTTTGGCCAAGATCGAGGTGTCCTCAGCTCCCCAGCCAGGCCCCTGCATTGCTTCTCTTCTCAAGCTGTAGAGGATAAGGCCTCCCTGGTGCCTTGCTTCCCTAAACCGTGGCCCAGAGACCGTTGGACACTTAGACATTGGGCCAAGGATGAGGTGGAGAAGTAGGCCAGAGCCAGGGAGGTAGGCAGAGCTTAACGGTGGCCTGTACACAAAGCTTTCATTATGCGGATGGCCAGTAGCATCCAAACTGTATTTACTCAACATGGCAAGAGCGTGGGGGAAGTTCCATGCCATGCAGACACAGGGGCTCCTCAGTTCTCAGAAGAAAGTCCCATAGAAATGGGAAATGAGCACCAGAGGTGATTTTCCCCTGGCCCTGGCAAAGTCAGACAGTAACCACGGCATGGTTTCCGAGCTAGCTGGCACCGCAGCTGGAGAGGCGGCAGGGTGGGCTTGCTGAGCAAGACCTGGGCCCGGGAGGGTGGAGCAGAGGCCTGCAATCTGTGAAGACAAGTGTGCACGAAGGGAGACGAGGCCAGAAAACAGATTTAGGACACGGAGAACGGCCCAACAGAGAAAAACAAGCTGATGTCAGACAGTGACCAAGATGCAGAGTGGATGCTGGTAGGGGAGGAACCCGCAGCTGGGTGTGGTCCCCAGGGGTGAGTGGGGGTGGCGGTGACTCTGGGGGCAGGTGCCCAGGCCCTGACACCAGCAGGCCGGATCGAATGGGAGGAGGAAAAGCCGGCCTTAGATGAGCACAGTGACGTTTCAGGCTATGTCGCTAAGTGCTTTATGGACATCGCAGGAATAAAGAAACAACATTTAATTCAGGGAAGTCTGAGAGTAGGTGGGGACACTGAAGTCCCTCTCAGAACTAAGAACACAGTCAAGGTGAGAGCGTGCCGGTGCTGAGGTGGCCTCAGGGCTGAGAGAAGGCTCTGGCCCAGGGCGGAGGTGGCGTGGATTGAACCCGCTGGAGGAGGTTAGTGTTACCCACCAGAATTGCGGGGCAGAATCCAGGCAAAGCCTCAGACAGGCCGGGCCACCAGCCCCTGCCATCCCCAAGACCATGCTTCTTCCATTGCACCTACGCAACCCGGTGGCTCTTAATTGAGCTTTGTATAGCACTTTTACAGTTTTCAAGGCACGTTCACAAATGATGCTACTTAACTGATGTCCACTGACGGATTATGAGAAGTTGGAGTCAAATGTTTCATAGACCATCCTGTTTGGCGTCTGCTGTGTGACTCTGGCTAAGTTGCTTGCTCTCTCTGGGCTTCCACATGTCCAGTGGGGAGAAAGCAATAATCAATCAGTCTTGCACAACGTAGGGCGGGAAATGTCTGGAGCGAGGCTGTGGGGAGTGGATGTGCCAGGCTCGAACAGCTCCGGAGTCCTTAGACAGACAAGGAAACCCATTCACTGGGCTCCAGGAAAACACACCCAGACGTATTATAATCTTTCCTTCAACCCGGCTTTTAAGCCCTAAATGCTTCCGTAAGCCTCATAGTCCTCTCGCTTCTGAGCCCCTGGCCAAGCCCAGTTTTGAGAGAGGGAAGTCAGGGAGGAGTTTGTGATTCCTACACAGCACTATTTTTAACTGGAATAGATCTTCCTGCACCCCCAGGGATTGGCGCCTTGAATCCGAGGTAAAGTGCGCTGTCAGCGGGACCCGGGCAATAAATAGCAGCAGACAGTCTGATCTGATACACGGCGGGAAGTTAGACAGATGGACAAACCGATCGGCCCACGTCTTTGCCAACAATGGCTCAATTAACCACACGCTGACTCTAAAGCCCCTCTGCTGTTCCAGCAGGACAAGGACCTCTCCTAACATGGCAAGGGTGAGGGTTAAACAGGTGCAAGCCCTGCCCGGGGGCAGTAATCAGGGAGGGGCGCCGGACTCCCTGGCTCTCCCCCAGCACTACGGGGAAATCTGGCATCTCGAACAGAGGTGAATCCTTTTAGAGCTTTATGCAAAATCAGCATTTGGTGTTTAGGCTGGAATGGAGATGAGCTTGAATCACGGTAGGCCACAGTAAAGAGGTACCGGTCTTTTCCTCCAGAACAGCCCTTCACCGATCAGAAGGTTCACGGCCCCAGCGGTTCTTTCACGTCTCTGAATCAAGCCTTCTCCTCGCGCTTTGCCCCATTCACTTCCCTTCACTGCCGGAACTTGGCAGGAGGTGGGGGGATCTGCCCCTCCCTCGCTCCAAGGGGACAGCATCATAGAATGACCAGAGGCATTGACTTTGGAGGGAGCACCCGAATAAGAAAGACACTATTAGCACAAAGAAAAGGGTGTGGAATTGAGAGTGTGTGTGTGTGTGTGTGTGTGTTGCACAGCGGTGCGAGCTCACTGCTGGAGGGCAGCGTGCCCTGTCTTTGCGGGCATGAGACCCACGGAAAGGCAGAGATGGACTTTCTCAGACAAACTGCTGCCCAAGTCCTCCCAGTTTCAGGCTAGACGTGAGGAGGGGCAGTGGTAGAAGTAGTTCTCAGCCCGAGTAAGAAATGCTGCCATTATGGTGACAAAAGACAAAAGCCTAATGTCTCTGGGACTGAGTAAAAAAAAGTTATTAAAACCAAGTGTTTATGCATCCCCAAGTAACAAGGCAGAAGTGAGGGGGCATTTCCAGCGTCGCTGACTTACGCTCCCTGTCTTGGTGACAAAGGGCGCATAGGAGTGAACAGTGTCCTGGGGTGCATCTTGGCCTCTTCAAGGAACCTGGAGGCACCGTGCGGGAGGGACGGCCACAGTAAACCGATGACCTGAACCGAGGCAAGACTCACCGCCAGCGACCATCGCGACCCCTTCTAAAGCTCTTGCAATGTGCCAGGCCTTGCCCCAGCACTTTGGATATACAGTGTTAGAAATCATTTAATCCATGAAACAAGCGCATAAGTGATGTGCTACCACGGTCCCTGTCAAGCACAGAAAGCCGTTTGCCCCGGGTCCCCGAGCTGGGAAGAGACGGAGCAAGTCGGTGGTTGAACCCAGGCAGTCCGGCTCCCATCGCTAGGCTGCCTGCTCTCGTGTCAGTTACTTGTTAATTCGCAGGTATTTACTGAACCCTTCTTTTTGCCCAAGACTCTCAATTAAGCAGGGAAGACAGGACACATACATGTGTTAAAAGTTCAATAAAGGGCATCTGCTGGCCCAGGGTCCGGCACTTGCAGGCCTCTCTCTCCAAATGCATTTTGCCAGCCCCCATTTTGGAAGGAGACTCATATGCTGTCCCCGATACAGCCCTTTTCCTGGAGGGTCTTTGAGGAACGAGAAACCTGGGGTCCGTGCTGCCTCCAGGACCCCCAGGCGCCCCTCCAGGGCTGGAGCAAATTTTATTCGTCTCTAGGTCCCCAGAGCTACACCCAGGGCCGAGCACATCGTAGATATTCAGTAAGCGTGTTTGACGGGATGGTTTTTAAAAAGCTTTGAATGCAGGCGCCTCCTTGTCCCAGCATTCCTGCCCGTGGCCACAAAACAAGTGCCTTGCATGGCACCTGCTACCTGACCAAAGAAGAGCCAAGTGCACGTTTGCTGAGCAACTGTTTCTCCTCCTTGATTTGCTAGGAAAGGCTGGCAGAGCCCAACGCCAACGTGGACAACTCGGCGTCCCCCTCGGTGGCGCAGCTGGCCGGGCGGTTTCGGGAGCAGGCAGCTGCCGCCAAGGAGGTGAGTTGGGAGGCTTCTGAGCACCGGCTGCTGGGAGGGGCTGGAGGCAGTGAGTCCGGGTCAGGCCCAGAGGAGAGGGAGGGAGAAGGCCTGGTAATTACCAAATTAGGAAGAGGAGCCCGAGAGGGGTCCCTCTGAATGTGAGGAATGTCCCACTGCCTCCCTGCCTGTGCAGAACCCTTCCCCGGCAGAGTGAGGCTTTGTCTGCCAAGGAGGGGTGGGCAGAGAGCAGACACGGGAGTCCAGATTCATCTTCATCTTGATCATCCACCAGTACAGACTTAGATCTGGCACAGCCGTGCCAGGCCTGGATGGGTTCGGACTAAAGAGGTCCCCACACCCGGCTCCTGCCCTGTAGCCTGGAATCAGGAGCGAGGCGAGGCTGGGCGGGTTCTGAGCTGAGAAGGACGGGAGGATGTGAGGGAAGTACGTTCAGATGGGAAACCAGAGATGAGGAGGGAAAGCATCCAGTGACCAACGGGGGAAAGTGTGAAAAGGGTTGTCTTACCTTTGCAGAGATTTGGGCTAGATTCTCTCGGGTTCTCCAGTGTGAGGAGCCCATTAGAGGTGACAGGAGGGACGGGTTCCCCAGGGCGGAGGGAGGTCTATCATGGCCCCTGGGGCAAGTGAGAACTTACTGTGGTTGCCTCGTTTGTTAGGTGCACTATTTTGCACTTTTGTTTTCTTATCTGAAAAATCGGGTCCATAATTTCTAGCCATTATGGGAATGTCATAAAGGATAAAGATGACAGCATTGAGCTGAGCTGTTGGCACTGCCCAAAAGCTGCATGTCGATGTCATTTTGAGATGTTGGTTCAGCCCAATGACTCCCAAGTGAAAGAGGATGTCCTAGCAGGAGAGGAATGGGAGAGGAGAGGCTGAAAGTCAAAATGGACAGATCGTTAGATAGAACCGTTAAATAATTTAAATAGTAAGTGGGCAGTTCCAAAGACACGCAATCCTCTCCTTCCATTCTTAAACATTCCTAAACTTCCCTAAACATCCCTCAACACTCCTAAATCCAGCTGCCACTTCCTTCCTCTTCCTCCCTGTTGCCTGATTAGCTCTTTCTGTTTCTCTCTGTGTGTCTGTCTGTCAACCCCTCTAGACACCAGCCAGTAAGCCAACAAGAAGGAAACCGCCCTGTTCCCTCCCCCTGTTCCCCCCCAAGGTAGAGCTGGGCCAGAATGGCGAGGAGGTAAGTTGTTGCGGGGGCTCAGAGGACTGTGGTCATGGGTTTTCTTTATCCTTTTTGTAGGAAGGGACCCAAAACTCATACTTTTCAACCTCAAAATCCATGCAGGGGATTTCTCCGTTTCAGATTCAAGGATGAATCTCCTCTTCTTAAATGCTTCCTGAATCCTTCACTTTGGAAACTAGGCTCCTCCCTAGTCTCTCTTACTGAGCCTCCTTTTATGATTTGTCGTGGACCATTTTTCAAGCCTGAGAATTTCAGCAGAGAAAATGGGCCATAGATGTTAGTAACAGACCAGACGCAGGAGTCAGGACTGTTATGGTTTATTCCCATAACACTGGATGATCTTGGAACAAGGTGTGGAGAAGGCACCTGGAAAGCGGGGCTACATTCATCTGAGGCAGAATTGTAACTCGAGAGAACCCCCCGGCGCTGCGGTCCCCTAGTGAAGGCTGGCTGCCGTCAGGATCACTGGAAGAAAACCAGAGCACACTGGAGGCCTCGCTGCCGTCAGATATAAATAGCCAACGTTGGCAACATAATCAAGGCTCTGGTATCATAGATCACAGCCACCCATAGGTTCCCAGCCTGCACACTCACCTATCCTTATTCACGTCATCGTAGCTGTGAGAGCGACTTCTCCACACCCCGTCCCAGCAGCCCATGAACCTTCGCTGTGGCCGTGATCTGTGCCAGAAATGAATTTGCGTGTTCTGTCGCCAGCCTGGGAGGCCAACCCCAAAACAGAGCAAGCAAGCCAAAGACAGGGCAGTTCCCAAATCCCACTCTGACCACCTCTTTTTTTCTCCCCTCTCTTTTGGGGCCAGCATCTTGACAACAGACACTGGGTACCGAGTGAACTTGGGCAAACCTCTCGGTGCCTATATTTACTCATCTATAAAGTGAAATGGTTGAAGTAGATCAATGATTTTCAACCCTTTTTGTCAACCCAAGGCTTATGAGCAGAAACCCATCAGATAAAGGAGCAGCTCGGAGCTGCCCCTGGTCACATGAGATGGGGAAGGGGAGGTCTGGAGCCCCATCTGCTCCTAGAATACCCCCTCCTTCCACCAAATGAGGGTCTTATTCTGGGATAAGAACCCCAAGGAATGCAAATCTAAAACACTGAGGTTTTTGTTGGGTCTCTTCAAGTGCTAACAATCTGATTCTGTGGCTTCCTGGGCTTATCAGCCAATTCTGTGAGCAAATACATACCAACAACTTCTCATTCCAGGGGTCAACTTCTCCTTGGAACTCTCGCCCTCTGGGCTTGGTGTCTCTGCTGCTTTGCAGCAGGCTGAGGCCGTGGCCATTCGGAACTTACTGTGAGGCTGCCCCCTGATAACCCGGGCTCGGCCCAGGAGAAGTCACTGCACCATACTCAATTTGCAGTGTGGACAAAAACACTAACTGGATAGATCATGGAGGCTAGGTGGGGAAGTTTTATTCCCTGGAATAAAAGCAGAGTAAGTCAGGTTAGTGGCGAGTGGATTAAACAGGTTTATTTCAGTGGCCTTGTGGAAATAAATTTACAGGTTTCATCCCATGGGGCGTACAAATACATACATACATACATACATACATAGGAACGTAAGGCTGGTTTTTCTCCCACGACCGTGTTAGTCCCAGCCCCTTGTTAAACCATAAAGGAAATGCTGCCACCTGCTGCCATTTCCTAGGAACTGCATCAGCGGCTATTTCGTATTCTTTCTGCTTTGTAGTTCAAATCCGTAAGGAACATACACTGGGTCCCCAGCACCATACTGTGGTTAAGGGGCAGTGTCTATTGAATTTCCGCTGTCTTCAAAAGACAGTGGTCAGCTGGAGAAGGGAAGAGTTTATGGTGTCACATAAAGTGAAATTTTATCAGCAAAATTTTTGCTGCAGTTTCTAAAACAGTATCTTCAAAAACCCCCAGCCCCTGTGAAATGTCACTGTAAGGCACAGAAACTAGGAACAACCCAACTGGGGCTGGACGCTCTTTGTGCTCAGCACAGACAAAAGACTCCTTAAAGATTGTTCTAGGAGTATGTCTGGAAGTGGTAACTCATGCAGGCTGCAAGAGTCCCTAGAATCATTTGTTCCAGCTCACTTGTGTCTTGGTAGAGGAGGCTGAAGCCAGGGGCGTCCATCTGGCTCCTGCCAAAGCTGAATTAGAAGGTAAAGGGGGTCTCCTGAGTCCCAGCCCATGCTCTCCCTTGCTGCTGGGCCTTGGAAAGGTCACAAGAAGTTCCGTTGAGTGAGTCGCCTTCCTTCCATCACTAAAATACAATCATCTCACTCAATAAATATCTCAGAATATTTCTGAGCCCAGTGTAATTCTTCTTCTTATGATTCAGGTAAATTAGTACCCAGGGGACAGGGGGTACATGCTGGTCTCCACACCATAGGAAAATCCCTGCTCTGCCTCACCCTCTGCACAACAACGTGGATGACATCTTCTTCTTTTTCTTCATCATCATCATATCACCGTCATCATTTCCACATAGTTGTGGAAGTTTACACAAAGCAAGGAGTCAATCTTTAGATAGAATCCTAAGGAAGACAAGATTCCTGACATTCATTCATCACAAAAATATCTACAAGTAAGCATACACGTGATTAGGTAGCACATATATCAGCCGCTGACCAACTGCTCCTAGAGGACAGAGACTGAATGATATTCATCTTTATATAACCAACACAATGCCTGCAATGTAGTAGACACTCAATAAATGTCTGCTCAATTAAAATGAATATTCAATGTTTTGGAAAATGGTAATTTATAAATAATGCCACTGGTGGGATTTTCCAAACTGTCATTAGTTCAAGGGAGGAATTTCAATAACACCTCTGTCAGGTTTCACTCCTGGTCTGTGGTTTCTTGTTTTGTTTGTGAGAACCAGGAGGGTCATTTTTGTCCTTTTCTTTGAAATTCCCTCCAATTGTTGATTCACGCTGTTGAAGGTCATGAGACTTTTACTCCCCTCACAGCTTTCCCTCGTAATGACAACGAGGTCACCTTCCTGGGAGAGGAGGCCTTCTGTGTTAGGCACAGTCTGCCCTGGCTTCTCTGACGCACAGATGCAAGTGGTTTTGCTATGGTGAGACGAGGTGGGAGAGAGGGGAGCCCGCCTCTCCCAGGCCCCAGTAAGCTGGGTGGAACTTCCTGGAACTAAGTGATCAAGGGGTGAAACAACTTCTCCTCTTCTCCTTCCACCTGTGACGTTTGGGCTCCAGCCAGAACTCCAATTCCCTTCACCCCACTTACTTGGTGGTTTTGGTTCATTTGCTCTGCAGAAATCACCGCCCAATGCCAGCCACGCTCCTAAAGTCAAGGTGAAGAGCTCACCTCTGATTGAGAAGCTTCAGGTAAGTGCAGAATGCATCACCGTTGCTACCTTTTATCCAACTCCACTTCTTATTCAAAACTTTCATGTCTTTAGGGCTCCTAGGGGTAGCCCAAGTGTCACCTGGATAGTTGGCCCCTGATAACCAGCTAGTGACCACATTGCCCTAAAGGATGAAGCTGTCACAGCCCTCACCTGGGGGCCAGGGCTAACATAAGGACCATATCAAGCGTAAATTCATGTAGTCAACACTAATGGCTGGTGGCTGACGGATAATGGGATGCCTCAAGATTCTGACGGGAAAGGACATTATAGTCGCAAGAAACATTCCAGAAATAGCCCAGCCCTCTCCCGCAAGGCCTAAATGCAGCCACAAACCATTTCAGCCTTACCCAGGGCTAAAGTTCAGCTGCTACACACTGCATGGGTGTGGCCACATCCATTGTTTGGGACGCATTCTGCCCGGCCTCTCCACCAGCACCCTGTGTGCCCAGAGCCCTCACCCTCTGCACCCTGGGCTGGCTCTGGGAGTGTGAGCAAAGCAGAAGACGCTGCCCGCAAGCTCACTGTGTTGTTGCGGAGACGAGGCTTTCACACACGATACAATAACAGGCGTGTGGGAGTCAATACCACAGATCTCAGTCGTGTGCCACTGCCCAAGTGCTGCTGCTCAAGACGGGGTTTCTCAGCCTTGGCATTATCTGAGCTGACTAATCTTGTTGCAAGGGCTGTCTTTGGCATTTCAAGATGTTCAGCAGCATCCCTGGTCTTACGCACTAGGTGCCAGTAGCACCGTCCAACAAAGTTGGGACAATGAAAAATGTCTTCAGACATTGCCAAATGTCCCCTAGGGACAAAGTCAGCCCCCCACCCGCACCCCAGGTGAGAACGCTGCTCTAGAATTTCAGAGCAAGAAGAGAGCAGGAGTAATTGATGAATGCTCTACGAAACGCCTATGCCCGTGGCTGGTCCTTAAAGGCTGGGTGGCTGGGGAGGAGGGAGGAAGGTGCTCCTGGTGTGGGAACAGCATGAGCTAAGGCACAAAGGTGGGCATGTTACGTCCCAGGGGGCCTGTAGGGGAGGCTCCTGCTTTCACCACAGCCTCTATCCAGCCACCGGGAGAAGGAGCAAGGCTCTCCTGCGCTGTGTCCTCCCCTCCAGGCCCAACTGAGAGTGCTGGCTCGCCAACTTCATGCTGAAGCCATCAGGGGGTGTCAAGACACATAGCCACAGCCTCTGCAGTTCCCAGCCATGGGATTTGGCTCCCAGCCTGATTTGGGGTTACGGCAAGCATCTCTGGTTTCTGGCCTTGAGCCTACCCTGTGGAGGGCGGGGAGGGCTCTGCAGTGTCTCCCTGAAATTTAATTCTTACTAAGAATCCCTGATTCTGCCCCAGCTGCAGGGAAGGGGGTGGTGCTGCCTGTCACCCTAGAAGACTTCAGGGCTCCCCTAGACATAACAGGGAGCTCTTGGAGGGGATCCCAGAGCTTCAGCATCCCTCCTAGCAGCTAGCTGAGGGGTGCAGCCCAGGACCCCAACCTCTGCCTCCCTGTAGCCCACCACAGCCCTCATTCAGGAGCCAGAAATCAGTTCCCAAGCGTTCTGTACCCTGTACTTTTGGTCTCATTCTCTTCTCTAGTCATTATTGAGCCTTTTTGGGAAACACAACAACTTCGGAATGAGGTTTGGACATCTAATTATTTAATCGCATTAAGAATGTCAGCAATAGTGTGACGATTTAGCCAAATCCCACAGGAACCTTACTTAGTTAGGAATATGTGGAGGAAAGAGCTAAGAAATACATCAGCAACTACATTTTCTTCTAACTATTCTATCGAATGAGTTACGAACTATGATTTTTATTCACTAGAATAATCCAAAATCCAAAGTTCAGATTTTCTGCTGACTCGCAAGATCCATTTTATTTGCAAGCATTCTTGCGGAGGGATTTTCCCGGGTTGAGATTTAGAGGAGGGGGGATCTCCTTTAATGCCCAGTTAAGGCCCCTCTGCCATGAAGCCCCCTGAGCCAGCCCAGCACATGGACCCCCGCGACATCTGTGCTCCAGATCCTTCCCCATGTGCTGCTTTTTGACGTGGCTCGGGCTCCCAGCATCGCTATTTAACTTTCGTATATTATACATTTAATTCTTGCCACGACTCAGTCTTATCTGTCTTATGTTTTCTTCCTTAAGATCACAATGAAAACATAGACACCTTCCTAAACATGCACGGTGCTTTCCCGGTGCAAGTGCTGAAGCGCACACAGGCGTTCTGCAGGGCGGCGGGGTGCGGCTGGCGGGAGGGTGAGCCGAGGGCAGTCGAGGCAGAGAGCGCGCGTGTGGCAGGAGAGAGTAAACAGGGCCCGGGTAGGAAAGACACTGAAGGCCAGGCTCAGAACTTTGCACAAATAGAGAATCCGAGACTCAGAAAGGCTATTGGACTTGCTGAAGGTCTGAAGGTCACACAGCTATTAAGTGAAAGATCCAGTATGTGGAGCCAGGTCTGTGGGCGCGGAGAACCCTTGTGCCTCCCACCGTCCCTTCCCTGCGAGGTCGCACTGCTGTCTCTCCCGGTCCGGCACAGGGCCAGCAGCCAGGTGCTGAGGGCAGGGGGAGGAGGAGTGCCCCTAGATGGCCTTAAAGAAGATCCCGGTCACTCACACACAGTCCCTCTGTGGACAGCTTCAGGCACCGCCACCTTCTCCATGACAATAGGGGGTGGATCTGGGACCAGCCACCAGACTCAAGACTCCGGCAGGCTTTGGTTGCCTTTGGGTTACTCTCCCGCTTGGGGGCCCTCAGGGTTTGTTTGGTCTGGTCTCACCTGCGCTGTGGTGCCCCACGTGTGGCACACACTGGTTTATTCCGCTGCCTCCCCTGGAAGTGGTCGGCCGCCTGCTGTGTCCACCACTCTGCCGTCTACCGGGAGGGAACCTGGTACCTGGAGGCCTGAGGGACAAACAGACCCGGCGTGAGTCTCAGGGCAGATCCCTCGGCCACTTGCCCAGTGTGTGCAACAGAAACAAACCCGAACACGTCAGTTGTCGTGGAGGAGACAGCTGCGCGTGACTGGCACGTATTAAGAGTGTGCATGGGTGTAACACGGTTGACTCTGACGAGAAAGGTGATCACGAAGGCTGACTTCCCGTGAGACCCTGGTGCTGCAGGTGCTGCTGGCGGTTGCTATTTTGGCCGCTTTGCCTGTAAGTTGGGGCCGTTCCGGGGCATCTTTGTTAGATCCACGTCCGTGCTGTGTGAGCATTCCACAATGCAGCCTGTGGCAGGCCAGGCGGCAGGACGTGAACTGACTAGGCAATGCTTCTAGAAGCAGGACACGACGAGGCAATGGATAATTGCTGGGAAGTAACGTGAAAAACCTCATGTCACCTGTCCTCAGCCAGTTCTCAGGCCAGGCAACCAACAAGCTAAAGCAGAAGCTCTCATCTTCTCCCCGCCCCGATCTGAAATTCCCCGTCTTTTCTCGGCAGGCCAATTTAACCTTTGACCCAGCGGCTCTGCTGCCTGGGGCCTCGCCCAAGAGTCCTGGACTCAAGGCCATGGTGTCGCCGTTTCACAGCCCACCTTCCACCCCCAGCAGCCCCGGCGTGCGGTCTCGGCCCAGCGAGGCAGAGGAGGTGCCCGTCAGCTTCGACCAGCCGCCCGAAGGTAGCCACCTGCCCTGTTACAACAAGGTAAATTCTGGTTCCGGTGCGTCGTGGTGCATCTGGAAACCTGGGGACCGGCACTCCTGAATTTTCTCTGCACTGTTGTCGCCCTAGAGAAAGGAGGAAACCTTTGGAGCTGGTTTTAACAGCAGTGAGATTTGTCCTCTCCTTTGCAAGTGATTCCAGAACTAAGACCACCCACCCCTCAACTAGCCCGCCTCTCTCCTCTCCTCTCCCTATAACTGTGCCATGCACCCAAAGGCAGGCCTGCGGGATTGAGTGCTCTCTCCTTTGTGGAGAGAGGGGTGGGATCTCAGGACCTATCCCAGCTGCACAGATAGTGGATGTCAAAAGCTGAAAACAAAAGCTAAAGGCCTGACCGGTGGTTCACACAGAAGGCCGGGCAGATCACCAGGACTGCAAGACATTCTGCCTGATGCGAGTGGTCCTGCGTGTCCCAGGACGGGCGCAAGCCACTCCTACCACAGCTCGCCCCAGTTAGAGAACACCCGAACGGTTCCCTTTACGTATGGCAGGGCTCACTTCTATAGAGGCCGCCCTGATCCTTTGTGTGTGCCGTCAGCACGCCCTGGCGCTACCGGGGGAGGTGAGAATCAGAGATGCAGCCTAAGCAGGTGCTCAGCAAACTCGGGCCAGAGCCAGGCAGGGGCCAAGATGGAAGCGGCTCTGACGCCAGGGAATGCTAAACGGGTACGACTTTGTGGTTAAGGATGGAGAAGTGATATCTTCTAGGCCATTCCAGGAAATGCATCTAGCTAAAAAGTCAACTGTATAGAAACAGAGAGCGCCCGAGGAAATACACTGGTGGGGGGAAGGTGATGGGCAGGCTTGAGCCTGTTGGCCGGGGACAGAGCGGATCCTCCAGCCCCGGGTGCTGGAGACCCTGAAGGAGCCAAGTGGAGAGCCTCGTCTTCTCACAGGGTGCCCAGTAGCGAGAGGGGGCTGGAGGGAGGAGCTGCTGCCTGGGTATAACACCCAAAGGCTTTAGCCTTCTGAGGGCAGTGAGGGAGCAGGCAAAGTTACTTCTGAACCCCGCCATGGTACCCTGCAGAGCTGGCCCCACGGTGTCTCCGGAAAGGCCCAGGAGGCCCTCATAAACCCAGTATTTGTTCCAAACCTCTGAGATGGAACTAGGATTGACAAAGTTCAGTGGGCCCGATTCTGAGAGTCACAGGCTTCCCAGAGAGGACGTCCTGGTCAGGCAGCTGCTTTGTGCTCCTAAGGAACGGCTTCCGACCACGCACCTGACTCCTGAAAGCAAAGCGCTCGCTCGCTCGCTCGGGCTGCTCTGCGTCCCCAGTGTCAGCCAGTGGTGGGGGTGGCGGGGCTGAGGCAGACAAGGGAGGAAGCTGGTCATCAGCCGCCCAGCGAGCACCCAGGAGGTCCCTGCACCAGGGCCTGGCCATCAGCAGGCCTCTGACCCTCTTCTCGGTTGCATTTTTGCCAAAGTATAATTTGCAAAATGTTAAAACATGACTCTAGATAGAACAGAGAGAGAACAGAGATTTTATTCAATTTGTAACTTAGGAGGAAACTAGAAGATGGTAAAGCTCACTCAAAGAGCATTCAAAGAACTGGTTATTCATGGGCAATTTTTAAAAAAATATTAGAATACAGTTGTTAAGTTAGATGCCAAACTGGTTAAAGTTTTACAGTGCAGTAAAATCATAAGTTATCTTTTTTACTGGATGGAAAGCACTTGCATCTTCATAAGACAGAAGTCTGCAGGTTACCATGTGATTTCGCAATCCCACGGGGCTCTAACCCATGATAAATCATAAACAACGATACGTTCTCCCAGGAAATTAGCTGGGCTTGTTAAGCAGTGCTTTAGACTGACACCGAAAGGGCGTGCAGCCCTCCTCTTGGCCTTTGCTGCAAGTTTTGGATAATTTCCCTTCCCCCCTCTTGCAGGTGCGGACGAGGGGCTCCATCAAAAGGCGCCCCCCCTCCAGGAGGTTCCGAAGGTCTCAGTCGGACTGCGGGGACCTGGGAGAGTACAGGGCCTCGGAGTCATCTCAGGAGAATGGCGCCACGGAGCAGAACGGGGAGGAGGTGTTCCCACCCAAGAGCAAGGCCCCAGGATCCCCGTCGTCCAGCGAGGGGGCAGCGGGAGAGGGAGTGAGGAGAAACCCAGAACCTTCGGAAAAGCCCCCTCTGAGGAGGGCGTCCAGCAGGACAGAGAAGCCAGAGAAGGATGGGGCCGCAGAGGAAGCCAAGCTCGGTGCCCAGGAGCAGGCCCCGGAACCAGCCCAAACCTCCAGTCCAGAGGCAGAGAACGGGTGCGGGAGCCCCCGGGAGGCAGCTCCGGCTGGAGAGGAAACGCAGATGGCGAAGGCTGCAGAGGGGAAGGAGGAGAGGGAGCAAAACGAAGAGGCCGGGCCTGCACATAAGGGCCAAGACACACAGAAGCCCGAGGAGGGAGCTGTGGGGGAGGGGACCCCCCAGAGTTCCCCTGGAGGAGTGGAGGGCGACGATGTCCCCCAGCAGGAGAAACATGAGGAAAGACAAGAGGAGGGGGCAGTTCCCGAGCCAGGCTGCAGCCCTGGGACCGGCCATGCCCAGCTGGAGACCAGCAGCGAGGTCCAGGGTGGGCGCACGTCCCCCAACGTGGAGGTAGGTGGCCCGGCTTGTCCGCACAGGAGGGCAGTGCCAGGGCTTGCATGTGCCTTTGTCACAACCCCTTTCCTCACAGTCCCTTCCTAAATCAGCTCAGTGTGCAGAAACAAAGGCACCAGGCTCCTGCCTCGTGCGGGCTGGATGGAGACAGGCTGTCGCTGAGCTGGGGGGACAAAAGGACAAAAAAGGGAAGCGTGTCTCGTGCTCTTCCCAGCTTCTCACTGACTCAGAGCTCTGGCGAGCTTCTGGGTGTGTGTGGAGCGACCCAGCCTTGGCCCTGCTCAGTAACTGAGGTCTGCAAACGTCGGCCAAAGGTCTGCGAAGGCAGGGGATCAGAGACGAACAGAGGGTGCTCCTTCCAAACCACTCACCTCTAGCGCATGAGACGGCAGCTCCTTCCTGTGCGTTAACGAGGTGGGAAGTGGCAGTGGGCAGGGACATTCCTGGGGAAGCCTGGGGCACAAGGGCAGGAGAAACCATCTGTGTGTGGAGAATAGGGACAAGAAGTTGGGGGCGCTTCGGGGCCAAGGTGGCATTTGAGCTGGGCCTTAAGGAAGCTGTAGGTGACATCCAGGAGGAGGAGGAGGGAGATGACTCGCTCCCCTGCCCGCCGCCCTGTCCGGGCCCTCCACTCGTGGCACCCACCGCACCTGGCTGTTCCCCGCTGGCTCCCAGGAAGCCCATCTGGAGCTCTAGGAGCAGTGTCCCACCCCCGACCCCTGTCCCTAGCAATCTCAACAACACCGTCACCTGCAAGTGTGCCCCCTTCCTTTTTAGTGTATTCATTCGCTCATTCATTCATTCACTCGCTCAAGCCATCGTTAGCTTCCTGCTACGTTAGCCTCTTTTCTGTCTTCCTGCTTCCACTTTTTCTTCCAGCCTATATAGTTCATTGCCTGGGCAGCACCCGGAGGGTTTGTTTGTTTGTTTGTTTGTTTGCATCATCTACCCTTTGCTAAAATTACTCACCTCTTATAGTAGAGTTGCCATAACAAAGTACCACAAACTCGGTGGCTTAAAACAACACAGAAGTACTTTTTCACGGTTCTCGAGGCCAGGACTCCAAAATTAAGATGTTGGTAGGGTTGGTTCCTTCTGGAGGCTCTGGGGGAAAATCTGTTCCTCTCCCCTAAGTTCTGGCTGCTGCCTGCAACCCTGGAATCCTTCCTTGCCTCTTCCAGCTTCCGGTGGCTGCCGCAATCCTTGGCATTCCCAGGCTTACAGGCGCGTGGCCCCAATCTCTGCCTCCATCTCCACCACGTGGCCTTTCCTTGAGCCTGTGTGTCTCACACTTCCCCCTCCTTCCTTCTATAAAGACACTAGTCAGTAGCTGCCCACCCTAGATCGAGAATGACCTCATCTTGAGATCCTGAATGACAAAGGCAATGACCCCATTTCCAGATAAGGTCACATTCACAGGTGCTAGGGGTTAGGATACCACCCACACCCACACACCTCACCCGACTCTCCCTCCCACTGTGCTGCAGCCAGGCCAATGTTTGTGGGGGCTCTCCAAGGGCCCTCTTATTATTCTCAAACTAAATCAGGGAGGAAAAAGTAGAGACCCAAAGACTCACGAGGTATGACTGAGACCCTAGGTTGAGTTGTTGGGGTAAGATGCATCGTATTTCTTTAACACTTTCTATTCCAAATGAGCAATCCTTAAATGAGATTTAGAATGAGCAATCTTTAGATTTAGGATCTTTTGGAGTTGGGAGATTCCACTAAGTCTCCAGAGGCAAATATGGGCCCCAACCCTTAGTCCTTTTTGAGGATGAAGCCACTGGGTTCAAGCAGTCCGCTGCCAGTGGTTGCTACATCTTATTTTCAAGGCAGGAGGAAACTGCCGTGCCAGGACGCCTTCCCATCTCACTGACAGCATCTTCCAATCCTGAAGGGTTAAAAAGTCATCTTGGTTGAAAAGCTAGCGGGGAAGGGGATTGCTTCTGGAAGGTGTCAGGTAGAAAAAGGCCTCCTGGCCAGGCGTGATGGCTCACACCTGTAATCCTAGCACTCCGGGAGGCCAAGGTGGGAGGATTGCTTGAGCTCGGGAGTTCAAGACCAGCCTGAGCAAGAGCAAGAGCAAGACCCCATCTCTACAAAAAAACTAGAAAAATTAGCCAGGCGTGCTGGCATGTGTCTGTAGTCCCAGCTACTTGGGAGGCTGAGGCAGGAGGATCACTTGAGCCCAGGAGTTTGAGGTTGCAGTGAGCTATGATGAATGCCACTGCACTCTAGCTCAGGCAACAGAGCAAGACTATCTCAAAAAAAAAAAAAAAAAAGAAAAGAAAAGAAAAAAGAAGAAGGCTTCCTGCATAAGCTCCAAGAGCTTTTGGGGCAGGCTCACTGTAATCTCTTGAGCTTCATCACTTCTATTCCTGACAGAGGCCTGGCAAGGGGAAGAGAGTGCCCAGCACCCTTAGGAACACTCTCCTCCCAAACAGGCAGCTCAGGTGGGAAAGAGTAGCTCCATTTGCCATCTCTCCATGCCTTTTCCTCTCCTTATCCATCGCTGAGACGTGAAATTATGACATCATTTAGTCCAATCTCCTGGTTTCAGAGAGGAAGAAACCAAAGCTCCAAGAGGTGACAGGTGTTGTCCAGGGTCATGGAGCTCAATCAGTGTTGACATACTGGGCACCTGCTCAAGCCATCAGAATCAACTGCTTACAAAGTACCTGTGCACATGTGCATCACTTATTTAACCTGGAAGGGGCATTGTCTCCAGTTCTCTTTTGTCCCTCTCAAGCCTGGACAAGGTTAGGATCCCGGTGAGAACGATTACGAGGTGGGCCCCTTGGGCCATGGGCTTCCCCAGCCACCCGTGCCTGTCCCAGGTCTTTCCTGAATCCGGCAGAGGCAGCTCACACCACTAAGCAGTTTTCCAATCCCCAAGCTAATCCCCATCTTGTTCCTTGGTTGTAGAAACAGATGGATCAGATAAACTAATGACGGTTGCATTCATGCAATCAACATCTGACAAGCACCAATTATGCCCACTATGTGAGCTACTAGAGGTTCAAAGATGAAAAAGACAGAGGCATAAACACATAATGAGGAGACAGCAGAATAAATGGGATTCTGTCCTTGAACAGTGAGCGCTACGTGACGCACAAAGGATAGAGCAAGTCATTCTTCGAGAGAAAGCAGGGGCGGGTTTCCTGAGTATGCCAGAGGCATCAGGAGTGTGAAAGCACAGTGAAAGGTTACCTTCCTTTACGCTGCCCCTCAGACGTATTTCAACATTTCATGCTGAAAGAAGGAGCTGTCCTGGGGATTCCAATCACGGGGCCAGCTGGACATATCAAGTCACTGCACTTAGGATTCTGTGTATAAGGAGCAGTAGCCCTGGAAAGAGGGCACTGAATAAGATACAACTTGAATGCTTCAAATACATTTAACAAGTGTTTCCTGAACACTCATTATGCATCCGGTACTGGGTGGGGAACTCGAGCATGCGAAAGACAAACATCCGAACAAAGACGCTCCAGATGTTCTGACATCACATCTGAGACGTTGCTGTTCTATACCAGTAAGTGCTGACTTCCTCACTGCCTGATTCAGTGGCTTTTCCAAGTTGGTCTCCTTGCTTTCTTAACATTTGTTCTGAAATCCTTTTCTCCCTCAGCTGGTGAGACACAACCTCCTCTTGAGTCGCCTACTTTCATAACTGTGTAGTGTTTACTTTGCTCTCTCCCCTTTCTTCTACCTCCCAGGTTACTGGGCAGGTGGAAGAGACTCAGCTCTTGGCCCTTAATCCTTCCTAGTTCTCTCCGGGACACAGTCCCCTGCATTCCCACCTCCATCTCCATTAGACACATAACTGTCCTTCCCTGAGACCTCTCCCTCTCTCACCGCATCTGTATCTTCCCCTCCGCAGGCCTTCCCTGACTGCTCCAGGGACAAATGCCCCAGCTCCTCGCAGACCTCCTCACCCTCAGTATAGTCCACGAGGATGGCCCACATCACATCCCACCTGGCACCATGGTTACATTCCTAACCGCCTCAGTTTTTCAGCCAAAGAACTGATGGAGGCCAGGTGTGGGGCTCATGCTGTAATCCTAGCACTCTGGGAGGCTGAGGGAGAAGGATTGTTTGAGACCAGCTTGAGTAAAAGCAAAACCCCATCTCTACTAAAATTAGCCAGGCAACTAAAAATAGAAACAAAAAGTTAGCAGGGCATGGTGGTGAGCACCTGTAGTCCCAGCTACTCAGGACGCTGAGGCAGGAGGATAGCTCGAGCCCAGTAGTTTGAGGTTGCTGTGAGCTAGGCTGACGCCACGGCACTCTAGCCCAGAGTGAGACTCTGTCTCAAAAAAGAAAAAGAACTCATGGAGAGGAGATAAGACCTGAGTCCCAGCACAGGTAGCACAGAAGGAGGCAAACTAATACCTTCTTTTGAATGGTTATTAAGGCTGGGTGTGGTGGCTCATGACTCTAATCCCAGCATTTTGGAAGCCAAGGTGGGTGGATCCCTTTGAGGCCAGAAGTTCAAGACCAGCCTGGGCAATATAGCAAAAAATTTAAAAAATTGAAGAAAAAAAGAATGTTCAATAGTTATTTTGCTGTCCTTTCACTCAAGCATCAGTCTTTTATTTTCAACCCTTTCTGTTCTTTTTCCATTTTTATGCTGCCAAAAAACCTTGAGCAGTGCTTCAGGAAGAGGTCATTGAGTGGGGATGAGTGAGTAGGTAAGAGGCCAGGCCAGAGGGACATGGAAGCCAGGCATCAAGGGATGGTCAGCATCACCTAGTAGTTGAAGAGTCAAGCTCTGGTTCCTGGGTTTAAATCCTGACTTCACCCTTTACTAGCTGTGTGACCTATAGGAAGTCATTTAACTTCTCTGTGCCTTAACTGCTTCACCTATAACAGAGTTAAATAGAAGCACCCACCTCATACTGCTTTTGTGAGGATTAAATGAGTTGGTGCATGTATAATTTAAAAAACTGTGCCAGGCACATAGCATTCTTATTACTATCATTACTGCTATTCCTCCTGCTATTCCTATTGCCTGATCTAAGGATCCCCAAGGAGATAGGCTAAGTGTCAGGATTTCCTCACCCTTTTCCTAATTCATTCTTTACTCCTCCATTCACAGGGTGACACTCCTGTCCAGGACACTAAAATGTGAAGAAGAGCTCATTGCGCTCTCGTGATGAAGCTGCTGGAGACGTCTCTTCGGAAGTAGCAGCAACAATAGTCGCAGCAGCAAACGAAGCCATTGCAGGAGCAGATTGTGCTGAGCGTCTGGAGTGAGGCTGAAGACCCAGGGTGGATTGTTTCCCGACGTCCACAGCGAATGCTCCCTCACACATCGAGATTGGATCTGAGGGCAGCAGACATTTATCGGCTTGAGTTTATGTCATCCGATGGACTGGGTTTTAAAAAGAAGCTTATTTAAAACAATGTACTGTGGTGACAACTGTCCAGGGGACACTGGGCAGCCTATGGAGCCCTGGCTACTGTCCACACCCACCCGTCCCTGCGGCTGACCTCCGAACTGAGCTCAGATTTAGCTTATCACATTTTGCTTGTGTAAAGTTACAGCCTTTCTACTGTTCTGAAGTGTTTATGGTTCTCAAACATAAGTAAAAACTAATTTTAGGTGGTCAGAAACAAATGAAAATAGCATTACTGAAAATATAAATCCGATAAGTTACAGGAGACCTTAAATTTTATCAAGACCCTAGAGACAATCTTTTGGCTTGGTCCAAATTTGAACTGGCCAACCAATTTTTAAAACATTGGACTGGAAGAGATGATTATTGAACCATTTTTAAAAGCGTCTGTTCCACCAACAGGAGCATTTCCGGTCCTGTGGTTCTCTAGCTGATGACCACCATGGGCGGTCACTGGCCCAGCTGGCTCCCTCCACCGCCCTTGAGACTGGAAACTCCCATGAGAACGTCAGCAGGTTTCATGTTCTGCGCTGCATCTCTTCATCCTAAAAGCAGAGCAGTGAGACCGAACAGTGCTGGCTCCCTGATTTGTCCCGCGAGGATGAATTTGCACTTCCAGAAGGTTACCCTTGAGCGTGATGATGTTTCCTGGGAGGTGCCTTAAGCGCTGTGATGTGCAAGCTACGTAATGAAAACATTCATCCTAGTGAGTTGGGGTCTTTAGTCCGTTCTCATTGGGTTGCTCTTGCTGTAATATTCAGTTTGGGGAGCACAGGTGGTTTTGAAAGGGACAGGGGGCTGACTGCCCAGTCCTTAACTTACGCCTCTCCCCTCTCCATGCACTCCTGCTGAAAGATGTTACTCTAGATACACGTTTAATCTTTAAGGTTGGTCCTTATTCTGATTTGAGTATGTCAGTGTTTCGATGTGCTGATTTGGCTGTTGGAGCAATTGTTTTTCTGGAGGTCTGTGAGACCACACCCTCCCGACTTCAGAAAACCGTCTCTCAGACAAAAAGGCCTTATGTCACCACTGGTACCTCAATTTTCTTATCCCATTTACAGTTTTTCTAACTCCGGGATAGTGTTAATATTTGGGATATACTTTTTTAAAAAATTATTTTTAAATAGTTTGTAACTTGTAAAACGAACTTGTCACCTGGTCGAGACTGATACTGTCATAGTTATCATACTTTGGATTTTAGCAGAATTTGGGCGATATTTGTGTGTGAGTTATTTTGAGATCTATATGCTATCAATCATCTATCTACCTATAGAGAAGTCTACCCCCCAAACAATACATGGTTTTATTTAAATATGTCTCTGAGTTGTTTATACATACACACATGTCTAGGCAAGTGCTCTGTGAACACGTATGTGATTATGAGTATGTGACGGAAGGGGCTACTTGAGAAAGGCACGGAAAGTGTGGGATATAGCTATGAAAATAAAACCGTATGTTTCTTCTGGAGGGTCTAAACATCGCAGTAGCAGATGAGAAAGGAGCAATCAAAAATAACAAGAATGTGACGCTACAGGAACATCCTTGCTGGTGTCAAAATACCTTTCTATCCTCCCAGTCCTGATAGTCACATCATTTGGTCAATTTTGTAAAAAAAACCAGATGCCCCTTTGCCAGGAGTTCTTAATTAATGAGGGGGGCTCTTGGCAGGGAAGCTGTGAGGTGCAGAGACTCATTTTTGTTGGTGCTGCAGCCCCACTGCTTACAGCTGTCCTTCCCCGAAGCAACCGTGGTTAGGCGTTGCGCTCGCACGGTTGGTACTGGGATTTCTAAATTTGGGATTAAAGAAATCCATCGGTGTCTTAGGTAGCACAAAGTCATTACCAGGCCAGGACGACCTTGTATCTTTCGGCATTCCTTAATAAGCCTGAAAGAAAACACTGATTCTTTCACAGCGACAAGACTAATGAGTCAGAATCATTCTTCCACTATCTTTGTAGTGTAACTTGAGTTTCAAACTGTGTCCTTCCTTTCTCCAGAGAAGGAACGAGAAAAAACCTGGATGCTTTGAAGGGATATGTCAATATTTAAAAGGGGCAGTGATGCTGTTTCAGCTGCATATGGAACTAGGTAACCAGGTGACCATGAGACGCCTCAAGGGCCTTGGAAATTCCAGACTCTTCTCACAGAGGTCACCTGGGACAAAGCCAGTTTGCCACACAGTGACCAGTTAACTAGATGTTCAATAAATATATGTCCAAAAAAGGGACAAATGAGTGAAAGGCAACCAGTTCATCATCTTCTGATTAGGTTTTTAATTAGGTAAATATTTAATACAGCTGAATGAATGAGGATGCCCAGCAGCTGATGACAGGAACCCACTCAAACTGGCTGATGGAAACAGAACTAGACCTATCTGTGAATCTCTGGACCCTCCCCTTTTACTTACATACTGAGCCATTCAACTGCAAGTCCATGGAAAGACCGAAATTCAGTCACTCAAGCGATGTCAGGAATCTCTCTTGGTATTGGTCTGACTTCCCCTGTGTTGGCTACGTATTCTCAAGTAGGCTCCTCCCAGCCTGCAAACCCAATGGAAGAGCTTATTTCCCAATAACTGGGGAAAACATCCTGCAGGGGCTTTCCACAGGCCGTGTGGATCAAGTGCTCAGACCTGACCCAATCATTTCGACCAAGGAGATGCAGAGATCACGTGCCCTCTCCTGGAGCTGGGGCGGGGTGAGTCAATCCTACACAGTCTAGAAGGACTACGAACGGAGCGTGGGGATTCCTCAACATGAAAGATGCCGGGCAGGCAAAAACAACAGCTGTTCCCTACAGGGCAAAATGTAAAATGCCAAATTGCTATTCCATTGTTTGTTTCAAAATTAAATTTTGTTTGACCCCAACTAGTTCTAGTCAACTTTGTGCTCTATGGACTAGGTAAAAATAGGATGAACAGAATGTCTCTATATGATGGATAATCAGGTGGCTTATGGAGAGGTCAAGAGCAGTGAGCAAAATGCAAATGCTACTCAAATAAAATGGGATTAAGTTTCATAAGCTACCCAAGAAAATCAGTCCCATTATTTTATATAATAATGTATTGCTGTGCCCAGAGCTAACCCGTAGCCCCATGAGAGCACAAAGTATCTATTATTATTCACTGTATACATGCCTCAGTCATGGTGGGTGCTCCATAAATATTTGTTAAATAATGAATAACTGAACTAAGTTCAGAGGTGGGATAGAATTATTTTCAACAGTCATGACTGCCCAATACCTTCCTTATCTGATACCAGATGCCTGAAAGGTCATAATCAGCTTCCTTCCCAGTCAAAATGCAAATACTCCTGAGAGAGAATTATCCTTTGTCATTGACACCTCCGGTGTGAGTTGGTTCCTAAGACCTTTCCAGAGGGGCTTACAAAAGAAGAGCAAAGTACACAAAAGTCTAGGGGCAGGCAACACCCCGACTTCCCAGTGTTGCTTGGGGTAACCCAGGCTCATAGTGAGCCCAGTAAGGGTACTGGCCAGAGTGGCTATGGATGCTGAGAGGAGACCATTATTCCAGTTTTGCCCTCAAATCCCAGGAAGGCTGTGGGAATTCCAGAGAGGCCCCAGTGTGGCCAAATGGGCCAGGAAACTGTGGTTTTTGGAGACTACTCAGAGGACGAAGAGATGATGAACACATCATATGCCTATTCCCGGTGGGCAGGTCTATGCAAACCCACAACCAAAGGCTAAGGAGGCTGCGAGGCCAAAGAAAGAGGCTGACAAATCCTGTTTCCCAGAATGAAACACTTAAAATAGTGACTTACAAACAGAAGCCATGTCTTGGGTGGCCTCCAGGCAAGACAGTGGGTTCCCCTCATTCCCCCCCAGACCCAGGGCTTATATAGGGAAGGAAGGTGTAGGACAATTGAAGTCGACCCCTCAGGGAAAGGCAAGAATTTGTCCAAGGTCAGGACTTATGGGTTAAGTATGAGTTTAGGTTGTTCTGACCTGAGGTAAATACGTAAAAGTAGAAATCTCAGAGGTATTCCCAGAACTGGAGTTAATCTGAAGTCAATGGAGCAGACTAGCGTCCAAGGTGGACTTGCTTTAGCTGCACAGTGCCTCATGGGGAAGAAGGAGCCAAAAGGGTAAAAACACCCACCTCCAAAACTAAGTGAAGAGGCTTCTTACACCTAATCCTGGAAAGCTGTGGGGCTTCTCCACGGGAGCTGGCACAGCCAGGGAGATGCCATGAGGGAAGCGGGATGCAGAAGGAAGAGGTGAAGACAGGCCAGGATTCCCCGCTGGGTTCTCCTGTAAGTAATGACTCTGGCCCTCCATGATGTAGTTTACATAGAAATTTGAGAAAATTACTCGAACTTAGGCAAACCCATAAAGCCAGTTATCACACTTATCAACTGCTTCTGTTTTAAAGAATGAGTGGACTGAATTGCACTTTAACTGCACTCAGAAACAAGATTCTAGAATGATTATACGGTTGGAACTCAAAGGATGGGTATTACCAAGAAGAAGATAGTTATTCCCCTCCAAGAAAATAATGGTTCTTCAAACAATAAGATCTCTAGGACTAGTCACTTGTGTTTGACTATCTGAAAAAGCCACAGGACGGGTGCTGGATGGTGTCAGGCACATCCCCACTGTGGCTGCACCTGGCCTCCTGGAAGTGACAGAAACTGCTTTATTGATGACCCCTGGAAGCACATGGGATGGGAAAGCACAAAAGGGCTGTTTTGCACTGCTTCTAATGCTGTGTCTCTATTCATGCGATCAAGCACAAGGAAACACAGTTTTAAGAGCCCTGTTTTCTTTGTGGTTTAAAAAGGTTAATTATCCTTATTTTTTTCTCATTATAAAAGCACTACATCGTTCTTTTAGAAAACTCATGGAGTAAAAGAAAAAATCTTAAGAAATAAATAAAAAATTATTTATAATTCCACTATGCAGGGATAATTAGTGTTAATATTTCATAGATTTTCTTCTGGATTTTTAGTGCCTTATATATGTTTTGTACTGTTTTAATTCTTGGTTGTTACAAAATTGGAATCTTACTATATCTAATTTTATAGCCTTATTTTTTGTAACATACTCTCATGACCATGTCTTCATAAGCAATCACAAGTCTGATCATGAAGACTATGTACTTTTGTCCTCTCCTATTAACCCAATAACATCCCGAGCAGGGCCAGGTCTGTATAAAACAGAGGGGTAATAAGATTTCCTGGTGGAAGCGAAGGTGTCCTAGTGGAAAGAATTTCTTTCACAATCTAAATCCGAGATTCATATCACCCTTATGACCCCATGGGCTCTCAACACTTAAAACAAGTGAAAACTTTTGCATGAAAAATGAAGGGGCTGAGGCAGCTCTAAGAATTCATCAATGGTGACTCAGGGAAGGGATTGTAAAATTCAGAGGGAAGCATGAGATAAACCTCAGAAAAAGGATCATTCAGGGAAACCAGACAGAAATGTGTTTAGTAAAAAATGGCTGAAGCTATTGCAGGATATTGGACTGGAATCTGAAAAAAGACACAAATTTGCAATCAGATCCAAGTTTCTGTTTCAACTGGGGCAAGGCTTGCAGTGAGTGAATCACACCTACCAAGATAACTGCTATGGCCCTCAAAGTCAATCAGCGCATAACCCCACAAGCAATGAAGAAGGCTCAGCGCATGGTCTCAACGCCAGGCTTGCATGCCAAGTTAGTAAGAAGGTTCCTTTGGATGTCAGACCCGTGTAATTATGTACATGTATTCTCATGTATTCTCACTTCCAAGGACTCACCATTCCTAGTCAGAGCGAAATCTGCACCACTTAAGCCTAAATTGGGTCAGAATTCAGTGGCAAGCAAACACTGGTTATAAAACAGTCACTAATTGCCCCCGACAAGTGATTTAAAAGCCCATTCACAATTCAATAACATCAGCCCAGAGTTATTCTAATCATCTCCTAATGGATCTACTATTTTTCTAATTTCACCTTCTCCCTCTCATGCATCTGACCCCAAGTCAAAATTGTTAACTTCAATAATTCTTTTAACATTATCACCATTCTCAAAAGCTTTGATGCCACCAAAACGTGTAAGTAGAATTAAAAGATTGAATCATGAGCTTGAAAGTTTTCCAAGAGCACTGGTTCTCTTCTTCCACACATTTCTATCTTACTTGCTAACCAGTTAAGCCAAGCCCCTTGGCATGGAACTATATCAAGAGCTATCAGGGCCGGGCGCAGTGGCTCACGCCTGTAATCCTAGCTCTCTGGGAGGCCGAGGCGGGCGGATTGTTTGAGCTCAGGAGTTC